AATGGTTACATTGCTGGACTCTCACATGGTTGACTGTGGTTTGAGTCCTGGGCCCAGTGACCTTAAACATATACTGGGCATGTTATGTGCATATGCCTAAAATCCCAAAAGGAGAATGGCAGAGAAGGAATTTATGGTGTCACCACCCCCTTTGGGGGTGATTTCTCACTTTCCCTCTCTATCTCCCTCTGTCTCTCTCTGGCAAGTACATGTGCCCTATAGCAAAAAAATAAGTAAAAAATACAAATGCATGTGTGAATCTACAATTATCTCCAAAGAATCAAGTTTAAGATATAAATAAATAGATTAAAATACACATGTGCAAACCCCACTCCAGAGCTATCTTTTAGTGTCCCTGGCAGAGACCTAACTCATAGGCTGAATGGGCCCCAGGGTTGATCTGGGGTAGCATTTTTTATGCATGAATACATCTCAGTAGCTAAGCAGGAAGAATCAGGACAATGGACACTCTCACTGCCATTCTGCAATTGGACAGCAACCCAGCGACATTCAGTCAATGTTGCTACAGCAATTTGGTGAGAAATACCAAGGTCCCTGACAGTCCTGAGAAACCCTTTTGCAACCATCTTTGCATATGTCATGTGACAGGGATAGCCTGGCTTTGGGATTCTTGGCACTGGCCATTCTCACCTTTTGATCTTCGATGTACTCAATGTCCGCTGTGTTGTAGCCATCCCGTTGGCCCTGATGGAGCACCTTGAAGCGCCTCTTGCCTATGCTGTCGACCACTGAGCGGCCGTCGGCAAAGAATTGAACATTTCTGATCTCTAGGATACAGCCATACTCTGCAAACCTGTTTATTGAGAAGGAGGTCAGAAAAGTATGTCTGTGATGAGTTCTGTTTCCCTGACCTGGCCCAGTCATTTCTGTAATCCTAGACTGTGCCTCAATGGATTTCTGCCTGTATGCCTATCCCCAGGTGTAACTACACAATAGGCCATGCCTAAAAGGGAAAAAAAAATCTTAATGTATTAGGATAACTATTATCATTTACTGAGCACATACTATGTGTCAGTGCAATGGTTTGAATGCTCTTCTTGTCCAAAACTCATTATGGAATTCAATTGCCATTTTAACAGTATTAAGAGGCAGGACTTTCAGGAAGTAATTAGGCCATGAGGGTTCTGCCCTTACGAATGGATTAATGCTACTATTGTGGAAGTGAGCTTGTTATAAAAGTGTGAGTTAGCCCCCCCCTTTCTCTTCTCTCTAGCCCTCTCTTTGCCCTTCCACTACATAATGCCTGCCATCATGTCATGACACAGAAAAAGGGCCTTGCTAGATGCCAACAGCTTACCTGTGGACTTCTTAGCCTCCAGAACCATGAGAAATTTCTGTTCTTTATAAATTACTGTCTGTGGTATTCTATTACAGCAGTACAAAACAGACTAAGCCAACTGGGAATTGTGCTCAGTGCTTCACATGCATTAACCCACCAATCCTCCCAACAAACCCAGTGAGGTAGACACTATCATCGTACTCACTTTACAGATGAAGAAACTCAGATACAAGAGGCTAAGTAACTTGCCCAAAGTCAAACTGGTTCCAGGCTAAACTAGAATATAAACCTTAGGCAGTTTGACTCCAGGGTTCACACTCTTATCAAACACATTGTATAATATGTACCACTTGTTAAATAAAAGATGAACTCTTGGCTTCGTTAACATAGGCAGCCTTGCACACAGTAAACGAGGTGCCAGAGGGATCCTGATCCTTACAAATGCTTGTGTTCTTGAGTTGGCTAAACCTTATGCACTACACCTGCCTGTCTCCTGAGAGCACCCCCAAGTAACATAAGACTCCCGCTCCACCTAACCTCTTCCTACTTGCATGGCTCTTCACTTACCCTTTGACAGGATCTCCAAGGCACATGCCAAACTGTCTCGTGCCTGTCTCAATGCATCTACGAATCATCAGACGGTAGCAAGGCTCAAAGATGTGCAGGGGACAAGGAACAGTGGGATAGGCCATAGTACACACGAAAATAGGCACATTCTTGTTTAAGCTGTCAGGAAGAGCAAATGACATCAATCTCAAAGCAATGCAACAGAACACAGTAAGGTCGGTCCAACATCACCATGTGGTACCCCCAAGGGACACAAGGAGACATCAAGTTTTGATGACTGACAGAAAATTTCTGATAATGCAATGGATGCTATAGGCTGAGTCTCTTTACCTGGTGTGAAGATCAGCCTAAGGTCTGAGGTTAAAACTGGCATTCCACATATTCTAACTTGGCTAAAGACATTCTCTAGTACCTTAACATTAGGGATTACAGATACACTTCATATGTTTTCTTTTTCTCACATTGTCTATTCAAAATGATGTCTTCAGGTGTTTTGCTGGCAGTATGGGGAAGGGTACTGATGGCATAAGTGAACCCAATCTCTAGAGGATGGAGAGAAATTCTCTGTAAGGTCCATGTGGGCATCTGAACTTTACAAAGGCCCCCAGAGAATCTGCATAGCAGGCCTAGGTTGGAGGAGGAGGGAGCAAGAGACAGGCAAGAATAATGGAGCACAGTGATGCACAAACACTCCTGTGCATCAGAAACAACAGAGAAACTTAAATTCAGATGAATAGGCCACTGACCCCCCAGAAATACTGATGCATTTGCCCTGGAATTAAGATCTGGGATTCTGCAACTGTGGATACCAGAGACAGTGCCGGGGGTGGGAGAAGGAGAGAATGCTACGGAGCAAAACATTTAATAGACACAAAAATGTAAAATTACTGGGACCAGCAGATAGTGTAATGGTTATGTTGCTGGACTCCCTCATGGCCGACTGTGGCTCAAGTCCCGGACCCAGAGGCTTGAAACACACAGTGTGTGTGCATGAATGCCCAAAAATCCTGAGAGGAGAATGGAGAAGGGACTGTGGTGTTGCCATTCCCCCAGGGGAGTGATTTCTCACTTTCTGTCTCTCTGGCAAGTGCACACATCCTATAGCAAAAAAATCTCTCTCTCTAAAAAACAAAGTAAAACTATCTGTTGATAATGTATATAGTAATATCTTTTAAATTTTTTTATTATCATCATAACCTTGTTTATATTACAATGGGTTGCATATAACTTTACAGTGTATTACATTGCTTTTTAAAAAGGGAATGCTGGGAACCAGCAGTTAGTGTAATGGCTATGTCGCTGGACTCCCACGTAGTCGACTGCGGTTCACGTCCCGGACCCGGTGGCTTAAAACTCACGCTGGGCGCGTGTGCGTGCGTGCCCAAGATCCCGAGAGGAGAATGGAGGAGAAGGAACTGCAGCGTGACCATCCCCCCTGGGGGGGGTGATTTCTCGCTTTCTGTCTCTATGTCTCTCTCTGTCTGTCTGGCAAGCGCACGCGCCCTATAGCGAAAATCTCTCCACAAAAAAAGAGAAAGCTGTGTGACCAGCAGGCGACATGGTGCT